GGACAGAGAAATTAGCTCTGACTGGATAAGACATTGGGATTCCACGGCAGTGGAGGAGTGGAAAGTGGCTTGTGGAGAGGTTGGGGTTCCAGCAGGTGGGATTTCCACAGAGCAGGTGGAACAGTGGTGAGAAAGGCCAAGGTACAGTTGGGAGTGGTGAGTAGAGACCCTGTCCTGAAGGGCCTTGAAAACTGGGCTAAGAATTTGAAGTCAGTTCTGTGGGTAGCTGGGAGCAGTGGAAGGTTCTCGAAGAGGGGCACATCATGACCAGAGGCATGAAGATAATTTTTTGAATCACCAGTGGTGCCAGATGGCATAGTGTTCTAGCACCTCGACATTTAACCCTTTGCACTCGATTGCTTTTTTCTCATCATCTACTCGACATTATCCACGCTCAACATCCGAGTGCAAAGGGTTAATTAATATCAGAGTTTAACTGGCATTGAAATTGACATTGCCTTTTTTGACTAACTCACTTGGCAGGACCTGCCTGTTCTCATGACATAGCCCAGACTAATCCATTATCATGACCCTTCTCCTGAAAGATGTAAAGTACTTTGGTTTTCTGTTAAGTGCACAGTGAGAGGCGCTATGCATTTCTTTTCTTGTTTCTTCTTGGTGACATCTATTGGCCTATTCCCAGTGCACTGAATGGTACATGTTGTCAGGTTTTGTGTTTTCAGTGCCACCCCAATTTTGGGATATGAACCTGTCACTAAATCCCAGCTCTGTGAGTCAGAAGAAACAGGCATGTCAGTTTGAATGGATGTGTACTTTCTGATCCCTTAGGGAGGTGACCTCATTGTCACATGCTGCAAGTTTGTTTGCAACTTTTGTTTAATCACAAAGTCAATAGAAAAAAAAAAGGGTGGTGTGCATGACAAGGGGAAAAGTCGGGGGGCATTTACAAACTTGCCAGAATGGGTGCTATAATGTCATTGAATAAAATGACAAATCAACTCCACCAGGCAGCTGTGTGCAGGAGCAGGGGGAGTGTAGAAGAGATGGGTGGCAGAGAGACACTTACAAAGCTGGAACAATGGTCTGCATGGGAAACGAAGTGAGTGTGAAATAGAGTAAATAGTAATATTACTAGAATTATAATAATAATGCTTATTATTTAGTGGCAGCCAGATACGAGGCACTGTGCCAAGCAACACAATACCTTGACTCACTTAGTCTTCACCACGACTCTGTGATCTCTTTTATGCCTGGTTAAGAAAGAGAACCTCAGGCTGGGCGTGGTGGCTCATGCCTGTAATCCTAGCACTCTGGGAGGCTGAGGTGGGCGGATCACTCAAGGTCAGGAGTTCAAAACCAGCCTGAGCAAGAGCGAGAACCTGTCTCTACTAAAAATAGAAAGAAATTAATTGGCCAACTAAAATATGTATAGAAAAAATTAGCGGGGCATGGTGGCACATGCCTGTAGTCCCAGCTACTTGGGAGGCTGAAGCAGAAGGATGGCTTGAGCCCAGGAATTTGAGGCTGCTGTGAGTTAGGCTGACGCCCTGGTACTCTAGCCTGGGCAACAGAGTGAGACTCTGTCTCAGAAAAAAAAAGAAAGAAAGAAAGAGAACCTCGGAGAGATGAAGTAACTCATTGAAGATCACTCAACTAGCAATTGGAAGGACCAAACTTCATTCACTTCAGTAAGACCCCAAAGCGGGGGGCATGAAAGAGGCATTCAGTGTACAGACTTGATCTTCAGATGGACATGACCTTAGCTCCCTAGGAACTAAGGATAACCAGTTATTCCAGCACCGTTTGCTGAAAAGCATTTTCTTTGCTTTTAAATTGCTTTCGTTCCTTTGTCATAAACAATTTACCTTATAAGTATGGATCTATTTCTGGACTCAATTCTAGCCCATTGGTCTACTATCTGTCTTTACATCTGTACTACACTGACTTGAATACCAGAGCTTTGCAGTAAGTCTTGAGGTCCTACATTGTCTTTCTTTCTCAAGATTGTTTTGGCTGTGCTAGGTCCTTTGCCTTTTCATGTAAATTTTAAAATCAGCTTGTCCATTGCTACACACTGGCCTAGATTGTGATTGGAATGACATCGGATCTATAGACCAATTTAGGGAAAACATTCAACATTACAATATTGAGTACTCCAGTGCACGAACGTGATAAATGTCTCCAGTTTTCAAACTGAGGTTTAGAAAGCCTAGATGTCTTCCTAAGGTTATAAACCTAAAAGCGGGAGCTCTCTTAATCTATTTACAATTAATTGACTCACCAGGATGGCCTGCACTCTTCTTTCCCTCTGCAAATAAGATTAACTGCTACCCTAAGCATTATAAACGTTGTTGCCTACTCTATTTCTGTCTAATAATTATGCTTCTGCCAGGTAAATTTTAGGCTTATTTACAGTCAGTATCTAATTTTTCCAATAGTGCTTGTTGTTATAATTAAATAATTTGGGTAAAGAATATAAATCTTAACTTAGTGATTCTATTTTTAAGAATTTATCCTGTCAGAAATGGGAATGAAGATTTTGCTATGACAATATTCATCATAGTTTTAATGCTAATACTCTCCAGTGGGAACAATCTAAGTGTCTCACAAAAAGAAATGATTAAGAACATTTGGTATCTTCATGTAATGGCTACTATTCAGCCATGATAAAGCACATTTTCAAAAATATTTAATAATAAGTAGAAATTCTTATGACAAAATATTAAAAGAGAAAAGCAAGATATAAAACTATACAGATGCTCCATGACTTACAATGGGGTTATGTCCCTATAAACCATCATAAGTTGGAATATCATTTGAGGTTCAAATGCATTTAATACCCCTGACCTACCAAACATCATAGCTTAGCTGAGCCTACCTTAAATGTGCTCAGAACACTTATGTTAGCCACAGTTGGGAAAAATCATCTAGCACAAATACTATTTTAAATACAGTGTTGAATATCTCATGTAATTTATTGAATACTGTACCGAAAGTGAAAAACAGAATGGTGGTATGGGTACTCAAAGTATGGTTTTCTTTCTTTCTTTTTTTCTTATTGACACAGATTCTTGCTCTGTTGCCTGGGTTAGAGTGCCGTGGCATCAGCCTAGCTCACAGCAACCTCAAACTCCTGGGCTCAAGCGATCCTACTGCCTCAGCCTCCCAAGTAGCTGGGAGGTGCATGCCACCATGCCCAGCTAATTTTTAGTTATCCAGCTAATTTCTCTCTATTTTTAGTAGAGACGGGGGTCTCACTTTTGCTGAGGCTGGTCTCGAACTCCTGAGCTCAAATGATCTGCCCGCCTTGGCCTCCCAGAATGCTAGGATTACAGGGGTGAGCCACCGCGCCTGGCCTCAAAGTATGGTTTATACTGAATGTGTTTCACTTGCACCATCGTAAAGTCAAAAGATAGTAATTTGGGGACTGTCTGTATATGTATAGAAGCATTCTGGTATTTACAGTATTAGCATTTATATTCTTGGATTTCTGACTATCTGCTGTATAGCTTCCTGTGGTCTTCCTTGTTATTCAGGGGGTACATCTCCATGATTCCCCCCAGTCCACTGTGTAAGGCACACGTACAGCAAAGACAGCACAAACACAAACATTACTTTACACTCCTCCACCCCCGGGTAGCTTTGTCACCAGGCAATTCTGTTGTGACACCACCTTCCCCACCAACTATGCCTTGTGAACATATCTCTTTGTGTCCTGAACTACACACCCAGGATGGTGTTCAACAATGATGTGAACTCACAGGAAGGCAGGGGAAGGAAAAGAGGACAAACTGTGCTCGACTCTGAAGCAACAAATATCCTCTTGGGAACTGCCTTAATTTGAGTGTGTAACTCTTTCTGTAGTACATGGGCAGGCAAAATAAAATCTCAGTCTCTCTCTTTCTCTCTCTCTCTCTCCCTCTCTCTCTCAGATCATTACTGCAAACTCCTGTCCCCTATTGCATCAATTAGGCCACTCCAGTGGCCAAGGGAAGGAGGAGATGGATGTCCCAGCTCAAGAAGACAGAGAGGTAAAAATCACCCTTTCTCTGCCTTATGTTCTATTGGGTCCTCAGTGGATTGGACGATGCCTGCCCACACTGGTGAGGGCGAATCTTCTTTACTCAGTCTGCTGGTTCGAATGTTAATCTCCTCTTGAAACATCCTCACAGACACACCTAGCTATCTGGGCATCCCTTAGCCCAGTCAAGTTGACACATAAAATTAACCGTCACTCTTATAAAGTCCCAGCAGAACTCTGAGCTCATACTATGTCTTTTATGTGCTCTTCTCTCTCCCCCATGTGGTGCCTTTCATCCTGCTGTGCACTCTGTGAAGAACAATTTTCTCAGTTCCTTTGATTAAGGGCATGCCATTTCATGGCGTTTAATTTCCTCTGTGAGATCTTAACATTGTTGGGCAGAATATCCAGTGATGGGTTTCATACCCCAGAGCTGGCCATAGAGATTTCTATTTTTATAACTGATGCTACATAATAGCTCTGACACTCTAGAGAGGGACTATATGAGCCTATTTGGAGCGCTGCCTACATGCAAATGATGAATTATCTTCCTCTGTATAAAAGTGGGGCCCAACCCCCAAATAAGTAGGGCCTACCTTGTCTCAGGATTCTCATATCTCCTATTCATTTGTTAACAATTTTCCAGAGAAATTGCAAAGTGCTGCACATTGGATTCATTATCTCAGTGCTCTAACATTAGAGAGGGAAGGAATCTATGCCTGGAGGAAGGTAGAAATGAGATTAGGGGCTTAAGTAATGCTCTCACACACACAAAATCAGGCAGGTAAGATAGCTCCCACTGTGAGTTATCTAGGTGGTCACTTGCTCAGTAACATACAGGAAACCCCATGGGTATTATCTGACAAGGAGTAAATGAAACTGGCAAAGATGACTGTGGGTATTTGAATTGAACATGAGGTGGGGAAAATGGATAGATGCTGTACTTCCCCTATTGCTTTAGCTCTTAGATGGGTTGTGAAAATGTTCTAAAAAAAGTGCAACTGCAGTATAAACTCACCAAGGGCCCATGCAGAATCCCCGAAGTGACCTGGATGAGGTCCACTGACTGCATTCCATTCCTGTTCTTCCACGCTGACAGTATTCCAGGACCTGGAAAACATGACTTGCTGTGGGACGTAGCAGAATTCTGCGGGAGGCAGCTACTCACTAATTTAAAATGGACAGAAAGTCTGTTTCGAACACTTGCTTAAGCAGTTTTCCTCCTATTAATTTCCTTAGTTCTCACGATGGCCCTAATGAGATGGGTGCTGTCTTTATTCCCCATTTTATGTATGAAGAAACTGGCCCAAGGATATTAAACAACTTGCCTAGTTTACACAGCTCGGAGGTATCTGAGCTGAGATTTGAACCTAGTAAGTGTTGCTTTAAAGCAGTGTTCCCCAACCTTTTGGGCACCAGGGACATCTTTCATGGAGGATAACAAGTTTTCCACGGATGGGGGAGGGGCCCAGGCAGTGATGTGAGTGATGGGAGGGCGGCTGTAAATACAGATGAAGCTTCGCTCACTGGGTCCCACGCTCACCTCCTGTGTGTGGCCCAGTTCCTAACAGGCCACAGACTGTTACTGGTCCACAGCCCATGGGGTTGGGGACTGCAGCTCTAAAATATATACATTTTTCATTTATTTATTTTTTCAGCATATTATGGGGGTACAAACATTAAGGTTACATATATTGCCCTTGCCCCCCTCCACCCTAGAGTAAGAGCTTCAAGCGTGTCCATCCCCCAAACGTTGCACATCTTACTCGTTGTGTTTGTATATACCCATCTCCTCCTCCCCCCTCCCACCTGCCCAACACCCAATAGATATTATTCCTATATGTCCACTTAGGTGTTGATCAGTTAATACCAATTTGCTGGTGAGTACATGTGGTGCTTATTTTTCCATTCTTGGGATACTTCACTTAGTAGAATGGGTTCCAGCTCTAGCCAGGAAAATACAGAGGTGCTGGATCACCATTGTTTCTTATAGCTGAATAGTACTCCATGGTATATATGTACACCACATTTTATTAATCCACTCATGTATTGATGGGCACTTGGGTTGTTTCCACATCTTTACAATTGTGAATTGTGCTGCTATAAACATTTGAGTGCAGGCCGGGCGCTGTGGCTCACGCCTGTAATCCTAGCTCTTGGGAGGCCGAGGCGGGCGGATTGCTCAAGGTCAGGAGTTCAAAACCAGCCTGAGCAAGAGCGAGACCCCGTCTCTACTATAAATAGAAAGAAATTAATTGGCCAATTGATATATATATATATAAAAAAAAAATTAGCCGGGCATGGTGGCACATGCCTGTAGTCCCAGCTACCCGGGAGGCTGAGGCAGAAGGATCACTCGAGCCCAGGAGTTTGAGGTTGCTGTGAGCTAGGCTGACGCCCTGGTACTCTAGCCTGGGCAACAAAGCGAGACTCTGTCTCAAAAAAAAAAAAAAAAAAAAAAAAAACATTTGAGTGCAGTTGTCTTTTTTGTAGAGTGACTTTTGTTCTTTTGGGTAGATGCCCAGTAATGGGATTGCTGGATCAAATGGTACAAAGTATATACTTTTAACTATAGCCTATCTACAGTATATTTTATGATGCTTATTAGCATTGCACAGAGAAAAATTTTAAAGCGATTCATTAGACTGCATTTTCAAGCCATCTGCTTTGGCATTTCCGTTAAGTCTATTTATAAAGAATTTTTTTCTTCTTTCTTGAAATGATTAGTTCTCACTTTAGCAATAGCCTGGAGATGAGTTTAGAAATCTCATAGTCCTGTTGCTACATATTTTACTTGGACTTACCACTTACAGCAAAAGACTAAAAATCCAAAAGAGCAAGAGATGCTATCCTCTGCTGTTAAGCCATGCTGTCTAGTGAAAAGAAAATCAGGGAGTATAGAACCTCAACTCCTTCTGTAACACTTCCCTCATTCTTGGGCCAACTCGGTGCTTCCAGAAAGCAACAATATTCACAACCATAGGTGAAATAACATAGGTGAGAAGTCTAATCTGGACACATTGTTATCAACTCTTTCTCTGGCTATCAGCTTCAAATTTATAAAGACCAATGTACCTTCCAGATGTACCTTCCTCTAGGAAGCCCCCTCCTTTCTCAGTTCTGCCCAGTTGCTTGCCATTCATCCGTGCTCCCAGAATGCCTTGCAGACTTCAATCATTGCCCTTATACTGTAATTGTTGGTTAATGTGCCAGGTAGCCGAGACTGAGCCTGATGAATCATGCATGCAGCTTACGGAATGAATGGAAGAGTGAACAAGTGAATGTGAGGACAGGGATGTCGAATGTTCCAGAGTTAAGTTATCTTGTTTGGTTCTAAACTTTGCTGTCTTTTTAGGACAAGGACTGTACTTCATTCATGTGTCAAGGGCTGGACTCATTAGTCTTGTGAAGTGGTCTCAATTCATTGTTCCTTAATATTTGAGGATGACACTGTCACCAGGTTGAATAAGGCTTTTGTAGGAAAGGTTTGCTTTGTCTGGCAGCCATGTGTTCACAACGGCTTTTCTACCAACTCATTTTATTTTTAGTGGAAATATCTGGAGTGTTCCCAGGATGAGAGACTGACGTGTTTAACAGAATGAATTTAGGAAATAACTTAGGCGTAGATAGTAATGGGTAGCCCAGTTGACACTGTATGGAGTCCACATGGAGAAGTAGCAGAGGAAGAGATTAAAAAGACAATTGCGGAAAACTCCAATATCCAGCCCGGTTCACTAATTTGTACTTTGTCCTGGAGGCAAAACGGAACCATAGAAAGCTTTTGAGTTATAAAATGACTGGAACCCTTTTACTACAAGAGAGACTTTGAAAAACAACCTTCAATGAGTCTATGATTTGTTTGGAATGTATTTAAGTCATTGAATTGGGGGGCTCCGTTGGTAACCAGAGTTTAGTTTACCCTGAGTAACATCCCAGTGCTTGGCATGTTGTAGGAACTCAGCAGATACAAATGCAGGAATGACATCAGAAAATTAGTTACTGTAAAAAAATAAAATAAAATAAATCCAAGGAATAATGTTAAAAAGGCTTTAAGGCCAAAACGATAGGGTAAATAGAAAATGTAACCACAATTTAATAATGTGAAGATGAATAGATTAATGATATATCTAGCCACGAAAGAAGAGATACTACAGAGCAGTGGTCAGAAATTGTTGCCTATACAGAGTCAAATAGTAAATAATTTAAGCTTTGCAGACCACACCACATATAGTATCTGTTGCATATTTTTCTTCTTTTTTTCCTCCACAGCCCTTTAAAAATGTACAAACATTCTCAGCCCAGTGACTGTATACCTGCCAGATTTGGCCCATGGCCCCTGCTCTAGAGCTAACAAATCTTTTCCTGACACCTCCCCTTTTTTACATAATTGTCAATCTTCTTTTCTTCTCTATGGGTCATAATAGATTTCAAATTTTGATACTAACCCTTTAATTTCACTAAAACTCAACACCAGTGACCTTATGAAATCAAATAAATTAGCTAACCTCAAAGACAAAAATCCTTCCCAAATAGGAAACATAGAAGCAAGAGAAATGCGTGGCTTTTTTAAAAGGTCTTTGTAAATAAGGACGAGATGGAGGCAGAGACGGTATGGAAAAGAAAAAGCAGCAACACAAACAAAAAACAAGTTAACCCAAGACTTATTTATTAAGAGCTCCTAGGTTAAAAAAGAAAAACAGAATTTTTGTCTCAGGTTGAATTTTGACTTGGAAATAAATATTTTTGTTCTTCTGATACTGGCAAAGCAGCCCTATTTCATAGAATCATGGACTACATTTGCACAGGAAGCCATTTCGTAAGGAGATATTTTTAATTTATTCATAAAATCAGCTCAGAATAAAGATATACCACAAAAGTATATAAATCTGCTCCAATAATCAATTCTAAATCCACAACTTATTTCACAAGAATAGTAGATAGAAAAAAGCAACCTATCCCTTGTCATTGCATTTTAACAAAGAGTGGGTGAACTTTTTGGAAGATGCTATGAGCAAGAGACACGGTATTTTTGATGCTGCTTCTTGGATTGGCTGCTCAAAGAAAATAAATAAAGAACTCTATGTGTTGTGACTCAAATAATGTGTCGTGGACCAGACCTTTCCCTTCATCCCATTTAGAATATTCTGAATATATTTTCTGGATGTGGCTGGCCCTTCAGGATGGAGTTGGTGCTTTGGGGCTTCTCTGGCCTAAGGACCGAAACAAATGGGGGCCAGTGTGGTGGAATGATCCAGAAGCAGCCCCCAAACCGTGAGTCTCTTGGGGGAGAGAGGTGATAGTGCCCCTGAGTGACATTCAAGTTTCAAGGTTCTCACAGGATTCTTGGCTAAGTTCAAAAGTTTCAAGGAGTGCAAACGAAAATTTTGAAAGCAAACAGCCTGAAAAACAGCCTTTGATTATCACAAGGAATGTGGAAAGAGAGAGTGAAGAGAAATTTTCAGAGAAAAAATAAATCACTTCTGGTTAGAACATTCTCTGCTCTCATTTCTCATAGAAGTTGGTGATTTTAGTTTTTCCTTTCAGTAAATGGCTCCCGTGCAAGTGTTTGTGTGGACACACAGATGACCCAGTGGGTTCAGTTGAGAGAAAAACGGTACAGAAACCCTAGATCTGCACTGGAAATTTTGAAGAAGCAATAGAAATTTTGAAGAAGCAATAGCAGATTTAGGAATTCTGAATACCCTTTCTGTTAGAGAAGAGGTGTAGATTCCTGGGAAAGATCCGACTTCTCATCTATCTTTCAACCAGTCAAACACAGCCCATTACTCTAAAATGCCCTTACGCAGTAAGAAACAATAAAGCTCTATCATAATAGCTATTGGGAAACTAGCAGGGAATTGTTCTGGGGGTATTGGAGATATAAGTCTTGAATAGAAAGGATAATGGAGAGAAAACGTAAAACAGCAGAAGCAGAAGTTGCAGAAGAGAATGAGGGTGCAGAATCCTTCCTAGCGCTGCCTCTTCCCTGCCCTGTCTTACCCCAACTCCAGCAGCCCCTCAGAGTGGCCGCCCTTCCCTGTTGCACATCTTCTGTGCAAGTCCTAACTAAGTCACACTGGACTCACTGGGCCAAAGTAAACCAGGCTGAG